GAATTCAAATGTCATTATAAATCTTGTGGTCAATCCTATGATAGTAAACCTCTGGTAAGACAGCATATCATTGATGACCATTTGGACGGCAAGTATATTGAGTGCAGTGAAGATAATTGCGATCACATCTCGGGAACCAATCAACACATGAACGACCATTTGAGAAGATTTCATAAGATATAAAATCAATTTTGAATTTTAGTTATTTACTAAATTGTATTAACATACTGTATATTTAAGTTAGTAAAATGTATTTTACAAATTGTCATAAAAAATTAATACAAATAAAAATATTTAATTAATAACTTGATTACTTGGCCATCGGTTTAATCGACCCGAACATCTAACTGTCCACATAAGGGTACATTCGGGTGAAAAGCCATTTGAGTGTGAAGTGGACGCCTGTGGTCTAAAGTTTGCGCGAAAATCTACTTTACGTCAACACCAAAAGCGCATACATTATAAAAGTCAATTCAAATGCAATTATAAACCCTGTAATCAATCCTTTGATAGCATACAAGCGTTAAGACAGCATATAATTGATGACCATTTGAACGGCGAGTATATTGAATGTTCTGAAGATAATTGTGACTATATTTCTGCTAATAATCATAACCTGAATAGACATTTGAAAAATTTGCATAAATAAATTTATTTTATATACTTTACAGAGTACTTATATATTACATTTACATATTCAATTTATATCTATAGATATCATTCATATATTTAAATTACATCACATGTAAATATCTATAGAAATGTATACTGTAGATATTTTATTACTTTAGATCTACATTTATTTTAAGACTTTTATTATTTCATTTATGTATTAATTTTCTTATTATTTCTTATTAAACATGTTTTTTTGTATAAATCATGTGTCTATGAATTTTATTTGTTTTAAAACTTATTCCTAGATTCAATATCTGTTTAATATCCAGGTCTACATTTTCAATAAACTACATTTATATGATTCAAATGACTATTAAAGGTTTCATTAAGAAGTAATGCAAACATAAGAAATGTGAAGTATTTTTTGAAAATAACAGGTTTTGGTTAAACATCTCATGCTTTCATATAAACGGCAATCAATTTAAACATAAAATTTTGCACAATATTATAATTTATCACTATTTTGTGAGCCCAGTGTTTGAAGTTCATTGCAATTCATGTGCTGTAATTAAATTAATTTTCCTGATTATTATAATGAAATTGTGAGTTATTTGGTAATTGTTGTATAATTTGTGTTTATGATAATATACTGAATTATCCAAATTATTTAAGACAAAACAAATGAATATGAAAATTAATAATAAACTGAATTTATTGGCCAAACTGTTTGCAATTAATAACAGTTTAAATACTGTTAATAGTATTGCGAATGAAAACTCGAAACTAATTACAGAAAATGATGACAATTATTGTAACGTTAATAATAATCAAATTGATATTAATAGTTATAAAATGTGTCAAATTAATTTATTAGATGACAAACTTATTAATAATAATAACTCTGACTGTGTTGTGAAAATCAATGCTAACTATGATAACTTAAATGTGCTATTTGAGTGTACATTTAAAAACTGTGACAAACGATATACACTTAATAGCAATTTAACAAAACATATTAAGGCAAAACACGGCAAAATTAAGCGATATGTTTGCAAATATGATGATTGTGGTAAAACATTTAGCAGTAAATACAGTTTAATTGATCACAAAAATGTGGTTCATTTAAATAAATGCAAACACGTATGCGATTACAACACATGCGGAAAAGGATTTTCTAGTGAATCGGCACTAAATGCACACAAACTGGGTCATACGGGAGAAAAGCCATTTGTTTGCGATGAATGTGGCCATAGGTTTAGGGAAAATAAGACTTTAATAATTCACAAAAGGGTACATTCGGGTGATAAGCCGTATGTTTGTGATGTGGACGCCTGTGGCTTAAGATTTTCCCAATCATCTAATTTACGTCAACACCAAAAACACAAACATTATAAAAGTGTATTCAAATGCAATTATAAACCATGTAATCAACCCTTTGATAGCAAGCAAGCGTTAAGACAACATATAATTGATGTCCATTTGATGGGCAAGTATTTTGAGTGCAGTGAAGATAATTGTTATTATATTTCCGAATATAATAGACAAATGAATGAACACATGAAACTAACCCATAAAAAGTCTTATATTGGAGATAAACCATTTTTATGCAACGAATGTGGCGATCGGTTTAAACTTAAGTTTGAGATAATTCAGCATAAAATGAGACATTCGGGCGAAAAGCCATTTGTATGTGAAGTGGACGCCTGTGGTCTGAGATTTAGTGCTAAACCTAATTTACGTGGACATCAAAAACGCGTGCATTTTAAACGTGAATTCAAATGTCATTATAATTGTGGTCAATCCTATGATAGTAAACCTCTGGTAAGACAACATATCATTGATGACCACTTGAATGGCGAGTATATTGAGTGCAGTGAATGTAATTGCAATTACATTACGGGAACCAATAAACTCATGAAAAGTCATTTGAAAAAATTTCATAAAAAATAAAATCAATTTAGTATTATATATTATTCACTATTTTCTAACTTTATTAAGTAATCTATAACATAGTAAATTGTAAATTATATGATAATTCATCAAATAAAAATATATTTAAAACTCATTTCATTTACAAAAAGTAATTTTCTTAACTTTTAGACATTTTGTAAGTAAGTAAGACACTTAACAAATATTGGTATTTTTTCGGAAAATATTGTATTATATTTTATTGGCAAATGTCTCATTCATAATGATCTCTAATTTTGTGTTAAAGACAGTCTTCTGGAACTGTTTGGACATATATTGGTGTCGGAATCGGTCCACAAATTTCTCGGAGGATTACACGAGTTAACACAAATCATCACCAAATCTGTCAAAACATACTTTATTATAAATATAAGACATACTCTATTGTGTAATAAAAACACTTTTTATAAAATTAGTAAAACTTAACACATAACTTACAGTTAATACACAAACAACTGAATAACTCGTTTGTATTCACTGAATGGCTTTAGATTTTCAGTTAAACCTATTTTAGCATTTATTGGTGGAACAACACATTAAATAACTACCGGCGCCGACATTGCATCCAAATGTCTCTCTCTCTCTCTCTCTCTCTCTCTCTCTCTTTAAGGTTTTTCGCCCGTATGAACCCTTTTATGGCTATCGAGTGCCGATTTGTTTGAAAATCCTTTACCGCATGTATTGTAATCGCAGACAAATTTGCATTTATTTAAATGAACCACATTTTTGTGACGAATTAAAGTGTATTTACTGTTAAAGCTTTTACCACAATTTGGATATTTGCAAACATATCGCCTAATTTTGCCGTGTTTTGCCTTAATATGGTGTTTCAAATTGCCTTTAAGTGAATATCGTTTGTCACAGTTTTTAAATGTACACTTAAATAGCACATCATTGTTATAATGGTTAGCATTGGTGTTCACAACACAGTCGGAGTTATTATTATTAATAAGTTTGTCATCTAATAAATTAATTTGACACATTTTATAACTATTAATATCAATTTGATTATTATTAACGTTACAATAATTGTCATCATTTTCTATAATAGGTTTTGAATTTTCATTCGCAATACTATTAACATTATTTAAACTGTTATTAATTGCAAACAGTTTTGCCAATAAATTCAGATTATTATTAATTTTCATATTCATGTTTTGTCTTTAATAATTTGGGTAATACAGTATATCATAAACACAAATTATACAACAATTACCAAATAATTAACTTACAATTTAATTATAACAATTATTAAAATTAATTTAATTACAGCACATGAATTGCAATGAACTTCAAACACTGGGCTCACAAAATAGTGATAAATTATAATATTGTACACAAATTTTATGTCTAAATTGATTGCCGTTTATATGAAAGCATGAAATGTTTAACCAAAACCTGTTATTTTCAAAAAATACTTCACAGTTCTTGTGTTTGCATTACTACTTATCAATGAAACCTTTAATAGTCATTTGAATCATATAAATGTAGAGTTTATTGAAAATGTAGATCTGGATGTACTGACCTGGATATTAAACAGCCCTGGAATCTGGGAATAAGCTTTAATACAAATAAAATTCACATGATTTATACAAAAATATATTTAATTAAATAAAATAAAGATTTTTAAAAGATTTTTCAAATCTTTGCTCAGATTACGATTATTTGCGTAAATATAGTCACAGTTATCTTCCGGACATTCAATATACTTGCTGTTAAAATGTTCATTAATTATATGCTCTCGTAATCCATGCTTACTATCAAACACGTTATTACATTGTTTTTGAGTGCATTTGAATTCACGTTTAAAATGTACGCGTTTTTGATGTCCATTTAATGTGATTTAAAATTAATATTTTTTGTACTTGCAAAATTTCAATATTATATACGGTTAAATATAAATTATTTTCTTTTGATAAATAGCAAGCTAATTCTAGTAATAATATATTCGTGTAATTAATAATATATTATTTAATATATTTTATTATGGGATAGTTACAACTTTATTAATTAATGTTGAAAGACTTTTATTTTTATTGTATTAAAATATATTTATTTCGTAGAAAATTATTTATTTTGACTTGAAGACTTAAAAATTATAGAATAATAATGATTGTATCAAAATTACAAATTTACTGAATTATTTAGTAAATAATTTGCAATTTATTAACCATGCTTCTATAAATAATTTTAGAAATTTAGAGTACAGAATTTGTAAGATTTTATTTTTACTTTGAATTATTTTATTTTAATATACTTATTCAATTTACTAATTGTTTTGAGTCAAAACAATAAGTAATATATATTACCTAAATTAAAACATTGTAAGATAACATGTATTATGAAAAATATATAACTTATTACATTGAAATTATTTATCATAATTGAAAAATTTAAAATGTTGTGCAAATTTGGATATATAAAAAACTATTTGAATTACATTTTAAGAATTAATTTATTTTTTAACATTTTTACGAATACTGCATATAAGGCACCGGTAGTGCAAACTCACACCACATCCGCCACCGTCTTAAACGTGAGATTATCGCTAATCTGCTGTTCCGTGACATTAGATTTGGTGACAAAAGTGATGGTCTTTTGGTGATCGAAGATAAAGAATCCGTTTTCGAGGAAATTCCCGCGAATTCCGTAATTCCGTTTGAAATCCATGGCCACGAAAGGCGCCACCGCTTCCGCGCTCAGGGTTATGTCAAACACGTGCTTATTGTCCACCGGTTTGTCTCTCTTGACCACCGAAACTAACTTCAGGTTCGGGTTCACTATTTTCGAGTTCTTCGGCTCCGTTAGCAATAGGAAACTTGACGCCTGTATGCAAAGGGGAATGGCATTCAAATTCTTAATAAGATTCTTAATGTTTTAAAACACAAATACACTCTAAATGTCATTCAATGTATAACGGACTCAATGGGACACACATTATACCTGAAATTATTTACATTAAAAATTACTTTTAAAAAGCATTAAAATTACTTTTTATAACAAAAACAGTTCACTATATATAAGGAATTCATTATAACTACATTCAAGTAACTGATTAAACAATTATGAATAGCATTCATAAGACATACCTTGAACTGTGGTATCTCTACTCGTATGACACACTGAGTCCTATCCTCGCACTTGAACTTCTTGAGCAGATCTGGTATGTAGTCGTCCCATACGGTCTGCACTGAGAATCCCTTTTCACTTAAGACCAGCGCCTGGAGCTCTTCCGTGGGTTTAAGTGACGTCCAGTTGTAGACACTTAGGAAGAGATCAAACTTTTGTTTATCGCCGAAGTCGTCGCGAACTAACACTACCTGTCATTAAGACATCAAATATATACAAAATTATTGTCTAATTCTTAAACTAAATATTAAAATATAAATCTATTTATTGTAAGTCATATC